CTTCAGGTTTCCTTATTAAGGAGTTCGTTGGCAGGCCAATATGGGTGAGTGTTCTGTTGAGTCAGCTTGGTTGGCTCCGAATTGCATTGTTGAGGGAGGTATTGATTCGACCGTTGTTGAGTTTATTAGTAATCTGGGGAGGTCTATGAGTTATCTTTCTGCATTGCAAAGTGTTGTGACTTGTTAGTTATAGGCGTATATGGCGTGGGTCTATTGAGGTTTCTTAGTGGAAGTCGAGCGGGAAGGAGTACTGAATATTGCTCGGCGGATGGCGTATAGATTATATCCTTTTGGGTTGAGTAGTGTTATGTATTTGCTTCACTGTGGTCATGATGATTTGTGTTGGTTCTAGATATTGATTGAGCGTGGTCGCCAATTTCGAGCAGAGTGACTTGAGGTGTTTCATGTGGAGCAGTATTTGGATAGGATCGCGCATTGCAGCGAAGTTATGTGGAGATATGACCTTGCGGGTCAGATTTGTGTGTTCTATTTCTACGATGTGAGACGGGTTCTCAGCTTTGTGCTGTGGTGGTACCGGTGAGCTTGAGGTATAGCTCTTTCATTTGGGTCATTATCATGAGTGAGTATGTTCGGATTGTCTCTTATTGGTGCGCGAGTTGCGCAAGTTACGGCTTTAGTCTGCATTGAGGTGTCATATCGCCAGAGTGGTTGTGTGTGATTAGACGAGATCGTTGGGATCATTAATGAATACGAACGGATTCGATTCCAGCATGTTGGAAGAGTAAATATCGNATAGATGTGAGATTCTGATCTTGTGAATGGTTTCGGATGTGGAAATGTGGTTCTAAGGCTTATGGGTTGGATTGGGTTGTGAAATTTCATTTGCAATGTGTTGTCGGACCTATATGAGATAGGGTGACGTGGGATCACCCCCGGGTATATGCATGGTAAGGTTATTCAGCGATTGGTTGGCTTTTGGAACAACTCTGGGCACGTTCGAGGACGAACGTTTGTTTAAGTTGGGGAGGATGTGCGACCCGGCCAGTTGACTCATGAGTTACCGCTCCGTTTCCCCCATTTCTACTTCTTTATGCTTCGTTATCCGTGTTTTATGTGATCAAGTTGATTAGTTTGCGTTCGGAGTGGATTTGGTAAGAAATGAGACACTTAGTCTCTTTTAAGGAAGCTTAAGTTGGAAAAGTCAACCGGATGTTGACTTATGTGTTAGAGGGCTCGGATGTGAGTTCCGATGGTTCGGTTAGCTTCGGGAGGTGATTTATGACTTAGGAGTGTGATCGGAAGTGGTTTTGGGGGGTCCGATGTAGAATTAGGCTTGAATTGGCGAAGTTAGTATTTTGGCGATTTCCGGTTGGTAGGTGAGATTTTGATCCGAGGGTTGGAATGGAATTCCGAGAGTTGTTGTAGCTTTGTTATGTTATTTGGGATGTGTGTGCAAAATTTCAGGTCATCCGGACGTGGTTTGGTTGGGTTTTTGATCAAAAGCGTGTTTCGGAAGTTTTTAGAAAACTTAGGCTTGAATTCGATGTGAATTGGTGGGTTTGGTGTTGTCTGAGGTGTTTTGATGATTGGGACAAGTTTGAATGAGGTTTTAGGATGTGCTGGTGCTTTTGGTTGAGGTCCCGGGGGCCTCGGGTGAGTTTCGGGTGGTCATTCGGATCATTTTGGAGTTAAGAAGATAACAGAAATTGCAGGTTCAGATGTTGCAGAGATTTCTTCTCTGCGATCGCGTAGGGAATCCTGCAATCGCATAGAGCTTTTGTGGGGCAGTCCATTTTTGTGCTATGCGATCGCATTGTAGGAGTTGCGATCGCATAGTGTGGTGAAATTGTTGAATCGCGAACACGTAGTGAAGGTCGTGTTCGTATAGAGTAAATTGCACCTGGGGTCTTAGTTGGAATTTGTTCATTGCGAACGCTGAGGGTTGTCCGCGATCGCATGGAAGTAATAAGGCAGAGCAGTTTGTGTTCGACCAGGGATGTTATTGTCATTCGCTATAGGGTTTAATTTTAGGAGCTGAGTTTTTGTGCTTCGCGATCGCGAAGGTTTTCCCGCGATCGCATAAAAGAAAATTAGACCTGGGCAGAATGTTTTAAAATATTTCATCCGCCATTTTGGGGATCATTTACTCCATTGTTGATCTTTTTGAGAGCTTTTTGAAGGGAATTGAAGAGGGATTCAAGGAGAATCGATTGGAGGTAAGATTTTTGAACCTAAAACGTGATTCTATTGTGAAATCAACCTAGAAAATCATGGAACTTAAGTTAAAAATGGAAGGACTAGGGCTTGGGATTTTGAACTTTTGAATTGGGATTTGAAGGTCCATTTGAGGTCAGATTTGAGAACTTTTGGTATGTATGAACTCGTTAGGAGATAAGGAACCTGTTGATGTAAAAATTTCTAAGTTTCGAGAAGTGGGTCTGGGGCTCGGGTTTTGCTAATTTTGGGACTTTTGATATTTTTCAAGTGTTTTTGCTTGGGCTTTGTTCCCTTAGCATATTGTGACGTATTCGTTCTGATTTTGGATAGATTCGACGCGCGTGGAGGCCGATTCAAGGGGCAAAGGCGTTGCGAGCTAGGGATTTCGCCGGTTCGAGGTGAGTAATGATTGTAAAGGATATTCTGAGGGTTTGAAACCCCGAATTTGCACATCGTAATGCTATGTTGAGGTGACCTGCACGCCGGATAGCGAGCGTGGGGTAGAGCACCGTTGAGGATTGTGACTTGGTCCGTCCCGATTGATAAATTTACCGCGTATTTGACTGAAACTTACTTGTTATCATCATGATTTGGGCTGATTGCCATATTAGGGCTTCGTGCCAACTATTTGAACCCTTCGGGGATTATTATCACCGTTTCCTCACTGTTTTGACTTATTACTTGAATTCAGTCATGCTGTTTTCCACTGTTTTACAACTCAGTCACTTTTACTCAGTTTTGAGACTTAAATGATATTTTAAATGATGCTTTGGGCTGAGAACTACTATTTTGCTAATGCCCGCGGGGCTTGTGATGATTTTCTAACTGAGTGTGGCCGAGGGCCAGATGTGAGGATACACTGAGTGGTATGAGGCCGAGGGCCCGAGATACATTTGTACGCCATGAGGTGGCTTGAGTGATGTGAGGCCGAGTGCCGAGAGATGATGCCACGAGGTGGCTTGATATAGCGCTTGGGCCGTAAGGGGCCCCTCCGGAGTCTGCACACCCACAGTGAGCGGGGGTACCCATTGTTCTGAGAGTGAGCCCGAGGGGCTGAGAGTGTTCTTAGAGTGAGCCCGAGAGGCTGAGATTGTTCTGAGAGTGAGTCCGAGGGGCTGAGAGTGTTCTGAGAGTGAGCCCGAGGGGCTAACACTATTCTGAGAGTGAGCCCGAGGGGCTGGTACTGTTTTGAGATATTGCCCAAGGGGCGTACCTTTATGTGTTCATCTTTCATATTTACTTGTCATTTTTACCTGTTGTACTGTGATATTTGTGCCCGAGGGGCGGATTTTCGGTGCTTATCGATACTAACTGTTTTGCATTCATTGCGTAACTGTTGAAAAAGTCATTTTCAATGAGTTTAAACTGAGCTAAGATATTTCTAAAGATTTCACAGCTTCACTGCTTTTCTCAAAGGGTTTTACACTGCCTCTATACAGCATATTGGGTTGCTTTACGTGATTTATTACTGCTCAGTTGTTATTTACCTTTATTACTCACTGAGTTGGAGTACTCACTTTACTCCCTGCACCGTGTGTGCAGATGCAGGTATTTTTGCACCCGATAGCGGGTTTTGATTGATCGAAGGCAGAGTTATCGGAGTTAGCAAGGTGACTGCCAGCGTTCGCAGCACCGCTTTTTCCCCTTTTTGTTTATCAGTCCTGTTTCGTGTATTTCAGACCTTGTAGTTGTATTTGTACTCTAATAGATGCTCGTGACTTGTGACACCTCGGTTTGGGCTATGTCGGGTTGTACTTCCGCTAATTATTATCATTAAAACATATCTAAACTGCTTATGAACTGTTTAACTGTTTTAAGAAGATGAATTGGGTTTAGCTGGGTTTGGGTTGTGACAAAACCTTTCTTGTTCACCATATGGGAAGAAACCTTTCTTGCTCACCATACGGGAAGACCTGCGACACAATGCCATGTTATTCTTGCAAAGTGAGTAGGTATTACCAAATACCACGATGGTAGAACCATTATCTTTATTCCTTAACACATATCAGTAGCACTTTCGCTCTATTTATTGACAAATTTTGTATACATTTCCCGCTTGGCAACAAGGTACAATTGTACAATCTCAATCAATCAGCTATTTAAAACAAGAAAAAATTCTGCATATCACTAAGGCTCACCATATATTATTACTTATGTGCAATATTTTTCATTTTTCGCCTTGGCTATTAACCGATTTCAATGTGATGTAAGTATAGATCCTACGCTTTAATTAGAGATCTTGACTATAAAAGTTTATATGAAGATCTAAAGTTTTCACAGAAGATCCTATAACTAATTCTAAGTTTTGCTGACTTTAAATTTTAAGTAATGATGACTGCTACAAAAATGTGCCTCTGTTGGATTGAGATAGGAAGATTAGTGATCAACGAGGAAATCAAAGAGAGAATTTTTTTTATATTTGTGAAGGATAGTTTTCATTCACTTTTCTTAATTTCACTTGATTTTGTTTGATAATTCAAATGGCTAGAATACATGGGGTATTTATAGTAAAACTCCTACATGCATCTAGTCTACTTTTTATGTGGACATACTAATTATGTTCACATAAGTTCGCACATTACATAAATAAGTTCACACCCTAGTACATGTATGTAGCTACTAATCTAGTTCATGAACTAATGTGAACTAGTGTAGACTAATGTGAACTAGTGTGGACTAGTGTAGACATGTTTGAACATATGTGAACAAGTCTAGACAAATGTGGACATATGTAAACTAATATGGACAAATGGGGACAAGACAATACATTAATTTTAACACCCCCCCCCCCCTTAATGTTTTGTTCTTGGACTCCCAAAAGCTCACAAAATTTGATGAACTTCTTCTTGGGTAGCGCCTTGGTAAAAGTGTCCGCAACTTGATCTTTGGACTTGCAAAACTTTGGCTCGACTTGCAAAAATGTGCCTTGTTCTGCTGCTGTAAATTGGATTCTTTGCCATTGCTATGGTTGACTTGTTGTCACAAAACAACTTTGTTGCATTGTCTTGATTTTCTCCAGCATCTTCTAAAATTCTTCTAAGCCAGACTGCTTGAGAAGTTGCAATTGCTGCTGAAATATATTCAGCTTTTGCTAATGATTGTACTACTATTTCTTGCTTCTTTGATTGCCAAGAAAATACTCCTGATCCAAGTGAAAACACAAAACCAGATGTGTTTTTCATGTCATCTTTTGAACCTGCCCAATCACTGTCACAAAATCCAATTAAAGTTAATTCTTCACCCTTGAAATATTTGATGCCACAAGCCAAGGTTCCTTTGATGTAACGAAGAACTCGTTTGGCTGCTCCAAGGTGAATATGACTGGGACTTTGCATAAACCTTGACAACAAACTAGTAGCAAACATTATATCAGGCCTCATAGCCGATAGATACATCAAACTACCAATGATACTTCTGTAAAGAGTGTTGTCCACTTTTCTTCCACCATCATTTTTCATCAGCTTCTCATTTGAAGCGAGTGGTGTTGGTACTGCTTTGCACTCAAACATATTAAACTTTCTAAGCATTGCTTCAGCATAGCTTTGCTAAGAAACAAATACTCCATCATCCTCTTGATTAACTTCAAGACCAAGAAAATGACGCAATAGACCCAAATCATTTATTTCATATCTTTTCATCATGTCTTTTTTGAACTCAGTAACTGCAGCCTCATTGTTACCGGTAAAAATTCAGATCATCAACATAAATCGCAACAATAAGAATAGAGTTACCCTGCTTCTTGACATAGAGAGTAGGCTCGCTTTTGCTTTTGAACCCACTTTGCAAGAAGTACTTATCAATTTGACTGTACCATTACCGGGGTGCTTGTTTCAACCCGTACAAGGCCTTCTTGAGCTTGTATACTTTATCTTCTTNTATATTATATATATACATAACATACAATATATACTACAACAAATTATATAATGGAATATATATACATAACATACAATATATACTACAAGAAAATATATAAGGTATAATATATTATATATATACATAACATACAATATATACTACAACAAATTATATAATGGAATATATATACATAACATACAATATATACTACAAGAAAATATATAAGGGAATATATATACATAACATGCAATTTATACTACAACAAATTATATAATGGAATATATATACATAACATACAATATATACTACAAGAAAATATATAAGGTATAATATATTATATATATACATAACATACAATATATAGTACACTATACTAGTATACTATATATATTATATTTACATGAAGAAGTAGTACTATATATACTACAAAACAAGATTTTTCAAAATGAGGGCCCCACCCCCAATGACCACCAACGGTCATATTAATTGCACAAATAGCCGGTTTTTTTTTTAAATTTACAAAACTAACCTTCTCTAACACTATAAGTACCCCCCTCCCTCTTCTTCATTTCAATACTCAATACTCATTTCTCAATCTAAATTTCTCTCAATCTCTCAATCTCCAATTTTCAAGACTTCAAGTCTCAATCTCAATTTTCAAGTTAAATCATGCCTCGTTCGGAAAGAGTGCGCTTATTTGTGTCGCAATACTATGAAGTGCTTGAAGAAAATGAAGAAGGCCAAATATTAAAGTGCAAGAACTGTGGAAGAGTCTTAAATTTTCGTTCAGGGTGTACCACAGGCATTTTAAGGAGGCATATAAAGTATTGTGTTGAGGGTATTTATCCGCAAATTCGTCTTTAAGATTTTTCAACAATTTGTGTTATTTTAAAATTATTAGACGTATTTATGCTTCATGTTGTACTTTGTTATTAATTTATTATGCATGCCAATTTAGTTTTACTATTGATTTGTTATTTTACATTTTCGTCAAACACTTTAATAATTAGATTTCTATATTATATATACCACATATATTTATATAGCCATGCATAAGAGCAATTTATATATATACATACACATACGGTTTACAAGAAATTGCCCTAAATAAAAAAAATTAAAAAAAAAAAGCCCGGAAATAAAAAAAAGCCCGTTAGGCCCGCTAAGCCCACGAGCCCGGCCCATTTAGCCCAGGACCATATGGGCTTAGGCCCGTCACGGGCTGGTCCTACCCGTTGAGCCCACGAAGCCCGGGACCGCGAAGCCCGGGACCGCCAGAGCCCGGGACCGCTAAGCCCGGGCCCGTTTAGCCCGGCCCGTTTAGCCCATTTAGGCCCGGGCCCGGGCCCACATACAGCCTTACTCACAACTAGTAAAAAAAGAGATAGTAGTATGGGATAAATTTCTTCCATTCTCTCCCCAAGTGAGGTGTCTTTTCAAATAAAAACACTCAGCTTTATGTGAAGTTCGCCAGAGAAATCACCCCATGTGCTAGTAATTAAAATATTACATCATTGACACCTTCATTTGTAAATAGTATAAAAGGGAGTAGCTAGCATTTTATTGAACTAGTTAAATTTGTTTAGTTATAGTATATAGGAACCAATTTTGCACTTTATTGAATCAATCATATATTCGTGCGTGATGCAAAAGAGTCCTTTCATCTTTGCACAAGCAAAAAACTTATTGTACTAAGCTTCCGCTATATGCGAAGTTCAGAAAAAAAAGAAGCCAATCTACTTATATATATTTTATGCCGTATTATCTTACATTTCTACAAGTGCCTATTGTCTTTGTACAAGAATATACCTAAAATAGTAATAGTGAGTACTGTTAAATATACACTATGAAATTTGTAACATGTCACTTAATGCGCGCAGAAATGAGAAGAAAATATAATGGAGTAAATTTCACTTGAGCTAATTATTCTGATTTTTTAATAAGTCAAATATCAGTATAGTTAAATAGGCCTTTGTCCCATTGGTGTGTACTCTTAATTCTGTGGCGGAGGTTTGAGGTTCGCATCCCCAAGAAGTGTTTCAGCCTTTTTATCATTAGTTATGATTTTACAAAAAAAAAAAACCTATTATATCACTAGTTATGATTTTATAAAGATACTCCCTCCGGTCTAAAATAAGTGATTTTTTGGATGTTTTCACACAAATTAAGAAATTCACCTTTTAGCATTAATTAGCAATGAAATTGACCATATTAACCTTTACTGTCTCACATAAACACTCCCAACACATATTCCAACACCATTTACTTCAAGGACAATATAGGAAAAAAATAATTAATTCATTCTTCAAATCTGAAAAAATCACTTATTTTGGACCATAAGAAAAAGGCCAAAAAATCACTTATTTTGGACCGGAGGGAGTACTAGATAGCAACATCAGGTGCTAGTAAACTTCTGGATTCGGCCGAACCCATTCTAAGTAACATACTAGCACGTAAGGGGCCCACGCAAGAATTTTTGTAAGCGGTGTCGAAATTTATAGAGGAACTGAATGATTATCATGCTTTTAAATAAGAAATAGCCTTAGTAACCTCAAAATCAAGCACATAACCAACATACCAAGACAAAATTTATGTCAAGTGATGTCATTTTTTCCTACTTATCCATTTTCGTACAATATTAACACATTTAGTAAAATTTTCCGACGAAGCGGTATCGCGTGATACCGCAACGGTATGCGTAGATCCGCCTCTGCTGACGCCCTTATTGTATTATATATTTGAAACTATGTGGAGAGTATCAAACCTATATAAGGAGTTTATATGCCTAATTAGCATTTTTAACACAAGTTAAGGTCATATTATAAACAAGATGAAAATTTCTCGTACTTGTCGATCTTAATGTTAAGATATTGAAGCTTACAGACATATCATCACTTTAAAAGAAAAGACAAATTCTAAAGTAAAAAAGGAATTAATCTGATAGGTTTGGTGAGTAATTTTAAATGAAAATCCTAGAGAAGTTGACAAATCATGACTTCACTAGCAAGGTCTGTACGCAATTACAACAACAACAGGGGCATACGCAGAACTTTTAGTAAGCGGTGTGACAATTAATTGATGGCCGATGACCCAAAAGAGTTCGGCAAGATGATGAGATTGAGAAGCAGAGTAAGTACTAGCAAGCTAGCACAAATACTTATCGCAAATTCAAGAAGGATTTATTCTGAATTAAGCGTTTAAAAGGTGTTAAACAGAATTATTATTGCGTTTATAGTGTAAATTACCCTTTGTCTCATTGGTTTGTACTCTTATTTCTGTAGCGGAGGTCTGAGGGTCAAATCCCCAAAAAGTTTTTCAGCCTTTTTTAGGGAAGCAAGCTCAGAAAAACGGAAAGTCACATACATATGCAGGAATCAAACCCTGAACCTTTACTATCTTAATGAAAGGCTTAACCATTGAACTAACACCTGAATGTTGTCAAGTGGTGTCACTTCAGATAATATAAAAGAATTTACTGTTCGCATGTCATTTACATCAGCATTTTTAATCAAATTTCCAACGAAGTGGTGACACGTGACACCGCTTCGATGTACGTGCGTCCGCCCATGACAACAACAAATTCAGTGTAATCTTACAAGTGGGGTCTAGGGAGAGTAGAACGTACGCAAACCTTATCGCTACCTTCAAGAAGACAGAGAGGTTATTTCCGGAAGACCCTCGGTTTAGGAAAAATAAAAGAAGGGAAGCAGCAAGCACCAATTAGAAAACCGAAGTAAAATACAGAAGATACAAAACTAAATTGAGTATTGTAATTAGAAGGCCGAAACTAAGGCAACAACAAGTAAACACAAAAGTCAAGGAATACGAAAATACATAAATAATGCTAACATGTACTAAAGCTACTATTACAGACAAGGACAACGCTAGATGACCTATCCTAGCCCTTTACCTTTATCCTCAACCTCCACACCTTCCTATCCATGGTCATGTCCTCAGTGAGCTGAAGTAACGCTATATCTAGGGGCGGATCCAATGAGTTAGATACGGGTTCCCGTGAACCCAGTAACTCTAGATCCGGTATCTATATTAAAAAATTCATCAAATATATAAGAATATTTAGCTTGGAGCCCAGTCCGTTAATCCAGTTATTATTGTATATTAACTTAAGATTTGTGTAGGAACCCATAAACTTAAAATTCTGGATCCGCCTATGGCTATATCTTGTCTAATCACCTTTCTCCAATACTTGTTCGGCCTACATCTATCTCTCCTTATGCCCTCCGGGGCCTCACACCTCCTCACCGGTGCCTCTCCTCTGCCATCAACAACGTACCTTAACTGAGATTTTACAGATATCTGCGACAGTCATATCAAGAAATTTCTCTCCTAATTCGCCTATTAATGTTGCAATAGCTGATCCACTGCCATCTGTCATCAACCTCAAAGCTTGCTCTAATAGCAACAAAAAAGAAGAAACACAATTAACACTAAGAACCCCGCAAGAAAAATAATTGTTAGTAACAATCGACTTGCCTGCTTAGGACAATAATTGCTGTTTTTCATAGTACTGTAACTACTTTATAGTAACAAAAAATAGAAATAGATTCACATTTTCACGTGTGATAAAACTAAATTGACTTCTTGACAAATGAGTAATGAAACGGGATCAGAAGTAGGACAATAAACGAGAGTTTCACATTTCACATCTCCGAAAACTATGAGAATGTTAGCTAGTGAGTTCAATATGTTGACGCGGGCATTTTTCTTGTTACTGTTTCAATATTTAGATGGACGGATATTATTAGGAGAATGCAGAATAGACAGTGTATACGGTTAAAATCAGGTATGCCAGATTTTCCGGGCTCGAAGGGTCGCCTTTAGCCCTAGTTCAGGTAAGATCAAGTTCGAGCTCGATGGACTAGACTCGAGCTCGAAGACATAGTACAATGTCCGAGGATCAAAGTGCGCGATGAGTATCGAAGCTGAGTATGTTGAACCCCGAGATAATGCCACTACGGATTTGTAAGAGAATGAGAAAGATTCCTGTCACGTCCCAAAAATTATGGCGTGAATCCCGGAATAGATTTGAACGAATCCTTATTAGGCGGTTAGACAACTGTCCCAATAAGATTCTTTACTATAAATAGAAATGTACCTTATTTAGGTTTTCCCTATTATATAAAGGGGACCCAATCATTTGTAAACATCATCTAATCATTGGCAAAGAATATACTCTCTTACTTTTTCGCTCATTGTTCATCAGAATTGTCCTTTAGCTTTATTATTCTTGCTTTATTGTTCTTGATCCATCTTGAGGTCACTTTGGCTTGAGGTCGAGACTGGTCTACATTCTGGTTTGATTTTACTTGTTCCTTTCATTTATACTTCAGATTTCTTGGTTATTAATTAGTATTGAACTAAATCACGTATCTTTAAAACTATAAATCAAATTTAATTGTTATTCGTACTTTCGAGGTAAACAGTTTGGCGCCCAGTGTGGGGCTAAAGATAATAGTGATTATTTCAGTGCTGATTCTGATAATATACGTTATTTTCACACTTGTTCTTGTCAAGAATTTTTTTCCCTCAGGATTAAACATGTCAAACTCGCAAAAAGCACCTGTTCACGACAACGAAGGTCTTGGATTTCATGGGAAAAACAACAATGTAGGGGTCGGTGTACCACCGATAAACCCTGGGGAAGTTCTTAATGTGGAACCAGTTGATGTTAGTTCACACATTGCTTTGAATGCAAATTAGACGCAAACTCCGAAGAAAGTGTACGCAGGGAATCCTGGTGTGAGGGCCAAGGAACACAGGGCATAGGAGTTGGGAAAGTCCGCCTCCAAGTGATATTCGTGATGCTACAAGCTCAGCAGATTGCCTAAACGAAATATTAGGCGCCATCACAGTCTCGAGGGTGGAAATTCTGAGTCGTGACAAAAGACCATGTTTATATAGATTGCTTCAACAGCTAGTTAACTTTATTAAGATAACGGCTAGTTTGACTTTATTGAATGTAAAATAATTTACTAAATAATAAGTAGATGTAAATAATACTTCAAAGAGAAAAAAATTTCCAAACCAAGATGTATATTACCTTTTAAGATATCACTAATTTTTCAACAAGTTTCACTGCCACCCATTACACAAAAATCAAACTTTCATGTGCTTGGCCAATGAAAAAAATAAAGCTTGCACGTGAAGGGGCGTGTTGAAGTGACCTTAGATGGTGTTTGGATTGGCTTTTAAGCTGGTCAAATCAACTTTTAAGCTCTTATTAGTATTTGGCAAAGTTAGAAAGTGCTTAAAATAAGTTTAAAACTGCTTAAAACAAGTCAAAAGCAATAACCTGGACACCCCAACTTATTGTTTTTTGGCATAAAAGTTATTTCTACTGAAAAATTACTTTTTTTAAGCCAATCCAAACGGGCTCTGAAGTAAATAAATAAAAGTGTGTTTTATGTAACCGCTTAAGCTTTAGATGAGATGGTCGCAAAGTTCAACAATATCATTATTAATAAATACAAATGAATAAAATGCAAGATCATATTAATAAAAGACTCAAATACCAGTGTTTTAAAAGGCTAGGACTTAGCCGGAGCATTTTACTTAATACGGGGCGAGGCGAAAGCATCGAGACATAAGGCGTAAGACCCAAAGATCTTTAATTTTTAAAATTTTAAATTAATAACATAGTATTATTAAACAAAACAAATATAAAATATACATTAAAAGTTTAATAAAACTAAATAGAATTAAAGAAACTGATATAAAAGAAAATATCTAGAATGTTTTACAAGTAAAAATAATGCAATAATTTTTAATTTACTATGAAATATAAATTAACTACAACATCTTAACTTTCAAAATACTAAAAATCATAATTTCTTAAAAACTATTATCAAATTGCATATTTTACATCCTTAAAAGTAAACACTCAATAAATTTTATCAACACTGTAATTTAAAATATTTCTCCTTCATGAGTAAATGTAAAATTATTTTTAAATATTAAAATAATAAATCTAAGATAATTTTAAAAGACATAGAACTAAGACATGAAGATCCATCAAGTAAATATATAAATTTTGGTTATTTATTTTCAGAAAAAATATTCAAATGATGATGTTCTCAATTAGTAAATATGTAGTACTATGGTTTGTTATTTGTTACAGTAATGGGGTTGTCACAGTATGCAATACCCGGGTAAATGCGTCCCTCAAGGCCATCCGCAGGGTGTACAAGCTACCAGTATTCACGGGGGACATGGATACTTACATTGCTTATCATCGCCCAACGGTCAATTGGGCACCGATTCTTGATGTCATATGTGTACCTGACAGGAATTTCATATGGATAAAGCGTCTGATAACATTGAATTCACAGTCTCTCAATTGGGAGGCTAAGTGTTGGCTCACCATTATCAATAGCCGCTTGTTACCCTCCAGCAACACGACTGATGTCAATGGGCCACGGGCAGCGGCTATATACAGTTTTATGACCCACCAGGATTTTGATGTTGCCCGGCTCATCCATGATGAGATGTTCATTTGCTCGTCTGAGATACTCAAAGGTTTTTACTTCCCTTCTCTGGTTACCAAACTGTGCCGTGCTGCTAGAGTCTCTGAAAACCTCAGGGTTGATGGGAAATTGCCGTTGAAAGCCCCATTCTGGGCTGGCAAGATAACAGTGGGGAGGGAGCTAGTGGTGGTAGTTGAAGATGATGAGGAAGCTGATGAGGCTGCTGAAATTGCTGCTATCCCACCACCTCCAAGAACTGATGAGGCGGGCCCATCACAGCCCCGCCGAAGTACCCGCCTGACATCCCTGGAGCAGGAAATGGCTGATCTCCGCACTTCTGTCACTGACATGGGCACCAGAGTTGACACTCTAGCCACTCAACAGGCCAAGTCGGAGAAAAAGATTATGGGATGGCTTCGAGCGCTAGGACGAGCATGTCACCTCGATCCTGGCACCGTCTCTGATCAGGATTAAGCTTCAGGGAAGTCCCCTTACCTTACTTTGCTTTATATTTGTTGACATGGGGACATGCCAAATTTTTAAGTATGGGGTGGGGGCTGGCTGTTGTTGTAAAAAGATTGTACAGCTTTGTATGATGTTGTTTTCTTTTTGATAGTTTTTGATATTTTAGGGTCATGTTAGTTAACTTCGACTTGGCCCGAAGACGGACACCTTTCGACAGGTCTCTTGAGGGACATTAGTCGAACAAAAAAAAATACATAAGGACTCTTCATGATGAAGGATATTTGAGATAGTTTCTTGAGGGAAGTTAGTCTAGAGAAAATACCAAAAAAAATTTTTATTTTATTTTTAGGTAGTGTAGTAACTCCCCCTTGGTTTTTCTTTGGGCCACGGTTCTTTTCCAAGGGTTTAGCTTGAACCGGGTGTAGGTAGTTTCTGTTTTTGTTTTTTACTTTTTAGTTAGTATTGATGGGCTACGAGCTGAAATAAAAAGAGAAACCCTCGGCGTTAATACACCTGAACACAGTCGACACTAGAGTGTAGCGCCTAGTCTCAGTGGTTGACTCTTGCTAAAATGCCTTACATTTGTATGTTTGTAACTGACTTGAACACTCAAAAGAGAGTGTCTTGATTAACCAATCTGGAGTGAGTCATGTTCCATGTGTGTGTGAGCTGTATTGTATTCTATGCTTTACATTTGATGCCTAGAACTTGCCCTATGTGTTTGCAAAGCGAAATAGAAGCTTCATTCAGTCTTAGAAGTGATATAGGCATTTCTTTGTTAAGCCATATATATAAGTAAACCCACCTAAATGTAATACATCATAGTTAACCCCGTTGTGCCTATAAGCCTATTTCTTTGGCAACCACATTGCGAACCTTACCCAATTGTTTGAATAGCCATCTATTTGAACCCCTTTTACCTCCCATGAGCACTTGAATGTCCTTGACATATGCAAAAGTTAAAGTGTGGGGTGGTGGTTTAGTTTTTGAGTGGAGCCAATGAAACAGAAGAAAGGTGCAGTTTTGGAAGAGTAAAAGAAGAAGCGCCACGTAAAAAAAAAAGAATAAATGTAGTAGTTGATAAGTGGTAGCTTGATACAAATGCACCTAAAGGAATGGGATGTCATAAATAAAATGTGGTGGAACGTCTGGTTGACGTAAGAATGAATTGGAAGGTTAATGTGATTGTATTAAAAGTGCTTAGGGAGGTTAGTCACTATATCCAGATATATCCTACCCATCCCTTAGCCTACATTACAACCAAGTGAAGTCCTAATCGATCTTAGATTGAATAGGCTCGATTAGTAGAGTAGTACAGTAAGGGCAAGCCTATGGTGCACCTTTGTGGCATGTGAATGTTCTTTTTGAGAGTGAGCGAATTTTGTCCATCTGAGTTCCTAATTGTTCGGAATAATATTAATTGTGGAACTAATCTGTTGTGTGATGTGAGGGCATGTGATTCACGAAGGAAAGGTAAGTCTTGACTTCTGTATAGAGTAGTTTGAGTGAGTGCGAATATTGCATGGCATGAAAGACTTGACTTTTGAGGCAAAGGTTGTTCACTACTAGGTGCAACTTTGGTGAATTGTTCATGGTGTAATTCGTTAAGGGGGAAGCTTAGGGAAGGAACTTTGATAGAGTGTGGTAGATTGCTCGAGGACTAACAATGATTTAAGTGTGGGGTGTTGATAATAGGCTACATAGACAATATTTACACCCTAATTATACCATGCTTTATTGTTGTTTTATAGGCTAAATGATAACAAAATGCTCTAATTAGTGTTCTTTTCTTTGCAGGGACTAATCCAAGTTAGGAAGAACTATGGAGTGTTTTGGAGTCAATAATGTGAAGAAAACATCCAAGCAAGAAGCACCCGACAGATAGAAGCAAAAAGGGGACTGGATTTGAATCCACTGCGACCGCGGTGGGACCGCGGCAGGCCACAAAACGCAGGCAGAATGTTATGCTCTCACCGCGGTCGCACCGCGGCCGCGGTGAACTGTGCAGTGCCTAGAACTTGTGGACCAAAGTGTAACTAGGGGAAAACTTATTCCAAACCCTTATAAACTCAAGAAGCTCGCCCAAGAAAGGGTCAAGCTTGTTTTTAGACTACATTGGAGGCAAGAACAAGTGTGAGAAGATCAACCAAACATTAGAGTTTTTCTATCTCCTTTTAATTCTTGCAATTACACATTATGAACAATTTTGTAGTTTTATCGTGTTTTATTATGAGTAGCTAAACATTTAATCTAGGGTTGATGGAACCAATTGTTGTATGAGGTTTTGACTCAACTTTGGTATAATCGAGCCGAATTTATTATATGATTGTTCAACTACGTTTTGTATGGTGATTAATTGAATGGGCCCTTGATTAATCGTGTCTAATTGCCTTGTGTTGCTTGAGAAAGAATACTAGGTTAGACTGCTGTTGAATAACACCACTTTTGGGTAATTGAAGAGATTCATTACTTGAACTTAAAAGTGGGGTTAGAGATAACGAAACTTTGGTGGGATAATTCAGAGCTGCACAAATTGTCAGCTAGAGTAGTTCGAGAGAATGCTCTAGTAAATTATCGTAGTTCATCGAGAGATAATTACGATAACCCATAGCTCATAATCCTCATAGAGTATTCCGGCGAGATTATAGCAAAAGAGTTAAGACTTAAACTAGCAATTGGGGAAATCAATACCCTAGACCTTTTTACCATTGAATTATCTTTGATTCAGCATATTGTTATTCTTAATATCATTTGAAGTAGTTAAATAAAAATCCAACCTTTATTGATAAAAATCTTGCATCTGGAAATTGTTTGACTTGATAATAGCATTGCCAAGAGTTGTAATAGATAGGTTAGTTCCCTGAGGATTCGACTCCGGACTTAAAACCGGATTATATTTGCAACGACCGCTTGTCTTTT